GTTCGCTGAATCCAGAGAATGTGGTAAAATTTTACCGCGCACTGTTACTGAAATATTAAAAGGAGATCAAATTTATACGGAAGTAAAAGTAAGTGTTATTCTAGTACCACCATTTACGGTACACCCGGTATATACGAAGTTCAGTCTAAATTAAAAACTTTTCTAATACGTAATAGTAAATATTCTTGCCCCCACTTATTTGTACAGAATAATTATTATATTAAAAATTTTCTAAATCAACACATTTCTCTTCATTGTTCCGCGTAAAGTTCGTCCTCAATTCACGAGCAAATATTTGTTTAATCTTCAAAACACCATCAGACCGAAGTTCAAACCCGCGTAACTAGTTAATAAATATACAGGGTGGCAAATTATCCAAAAAGTGCCGTCAACACCAAAAACACGTCAAAATTTCCATTAACATGCAAATTAATATATCGTATCGCATTCGTACTTCTCGCCTAGGAATATCGTTATGAATACATATAAAGGGATGCGGTCTGCAGAAGAACGGAGATAAGGTCGAGGACGTCGAGTACGACGGCGACGACGACGAGTTTCGGCGAGTGCGTCCGTAGGTATACATTGTAACGAACGAGTATTTTCTCCCGAGCAGAATACAAACTGCACATTGACTCCCTCTCCTTCCCTTTGCTCCGTGCGGCTCTCTCATCCCCTAGCGTGTGCAGACACATTCGCGGGGTAGCTTCGGATTCACCCCCGAAATGAGAGTCCGCTTTAGTGTCGCGAACGTGTCTGTCGGTGCCGCCTTCATCTTCTCCCTCGTTTTCTCTCTCTCCCTCTCTCTCACTTTATTCCCTTTCTCCGTCCCTCTGCTTCAGCTATCATTTCATCGTTGTATCCTGCTCGCACGTGTTCTTGTTGCGTATCTTCGTCCTTATCCGCAGTGTCCGCAAGGCACGTTCTCTCGGAGTGCACGGAAACGAGGTGCAGGCTGTCGTCCAAGCTGCGCCTGCTTCCTAGCGGAAACGCGACATAATGCGCCTCGTACCGCACCCCAACGATGACCAACGTGCCGTGAAGAGGGCATCGGCCGCGATGACTTTTTAATCACGACGTACACTAGAACTTCACCCCTCGAAGCGTGGTTTGCAGTTCCCAGGGGCTCTCAACGTGGTCCATTGCCGATTAAAAAGCTGCCCGTAGATAAGAATCGACCCTTATTTCGACCGGTTGTTCTACACTGCTCGCGAAAAGAATTGCGGCACGTGGAAATTGGGATTGCACAAATCTGAAAATTACGTATGTTTCTCGGGCTACTCTTTCGACCTTTTCTCACCATTTTTAACCAAATTTTCAGATTATGATAAATTTCAGATTTGTGTGATTTTGATTTTAAGGTGTTGCAATTTTTTGGCGAACAGCGGTTCCGGGTTGGAATTAGTTAGGTTTGTCGTAATTACATTGCAAAATTGTCGGCACGAGGATCAAATTTCGATACAGTGAACTTTCGACGTAAACTATTTCTTGTAGCTTCTGCGACAGCGATACTCGTACTATTTAGGAATGTTTTCAAAGTTTTTGCTTTGGATATGTTTACGAGGTCGGGACATTTGCGCTGCCGAGACATCTGCTTTTGTACGTGCCACCTCGCGTGCCTCGCATATAAACATTGGAAATGTTTAAGGACTTCGAGGCTCGAGCATTGGAAATATTCTCGAAGAAATATTGTGTACTAAATGTTCTACGAATTTATATAGGGTGCGGTTGAAAATATTGTACAAGCAAGCAGGAGGTGATTTCTTACTGAAGAATAAGTAAGAAATGTACGGTAAAATTTTTTGACGAGAGATTTACTTTTTCAGATAATTCAGATTTGCATCAATTTCGACAATTTCTCAATTGATACGATAAAGTATCGTTGATAAAATTTTCGTCTTACAGATCTTCTCAATAATTTGTCATAGATCTCAGATTTTTATTTTCAAGACAAGATGAACGTTCGAGTATTAATCATTCAAAGCTACAAGAATTGTTAGAACTTCAACGATGGATTTATGATTTTCACTAATTAGTATTCTTTCGCCGAAAAAACAAAAACAAAAAAGCTTCATTAGCTACTTATAGTGCAGTACTAGAGCTGAAAGGGGCTCGAATTAAGTCAGAGCGGTAACAGGCTAGAATGTGACGTTATACACATGTTTCACCGACGCAATCAGCTATAATCAATTTTAACTACCACACTTATATTTGCTCGAATGTTTAACTTATGCTCGAACGATATTCCAGCGACAATTTTAATGAGAAGCAAATGTGTTTAGGCGATTTCCGTGACGAAAATAGCAGTGTTACTCTTAGTACAGTAGTACTTGAACAACGTGCACTAGGATTTTAGTGGTCATCGTTATTTTAACGATCTTCTTAGTAATCAAATGTGACGATTACTATCTGCTTCACCAAATGGAATATTTTATATTCATCTTCAATCGCTCTAATTATTTATACATAACTAAAAACGCACGATGCTATTGTATGCAGTTGCAATTCTACTAAAATTTATGTTAAAATTTCTTAGCAATAACATCTTATTTTTCAGAATTATATTAAATTAATAGCGAGATACTGTTAGTGGTTCGAATATTGTACTACGAACGCTAATTAATACACCTGTGTACAGTTTTTTTTTTCCTTTGTGTTATTCATTTGTTATCGTGTATCCACGATTTGTCTGCTTATGAGTTGTATGATTATGAGGTTGCTATAGCATTCGATTTAGTATACGTGCAGAGGACGAACACGCCGAACGTACGTTCCAGGATGTAGTCTATAATCGCTTCCTGTACTAGCGATTGGACAGTAGCAAGGGGTCGATTGTACGTATCCGTCAAGTGTATATACAGGGGATGTGTTTCAAGGGAAACGATCGATTCGTCAATCGGTACTTTTAATATCTGTCTCGCTTCAATTCTTTTCTTCTAATTCCGCTTCACGTCAGGATTTTCGAATTTTTCAGTTTCATTCGATACCTTGGTGTAAACAGTACACTAATTCACAATTGAAAAACATTTCAGTACATGTTAAACGTGTGCAGTATATTTGGAAATTTTTTTTTGCTGTTGTGGAAAGTTTTGAAAACGTACATTCGAATGAATAACAAGACAGAGTTAACAGAAGGTTTTAGAGGTTACCAAAGTTAAGAAATGCGTGGTCATAACGTGACAAAATAATTGAGAAAATTTCGTTATATTGCTGTTATTAGTTCTGGGTTAAATAAGCTGTTTAAGTAAAATTTGTAACAGCAGTTAAAATTTAAAGAAACTCTTACAAGTGTTATACTAAAAAGTATGGAAGAATTTGCACCGAAATTGTGAATTTGGGGGAAGGAGTTGCAATAAAATGTATGAAAGTTATTACGTTTTAAGTTTTATCAATATAATGTAAAATTACAGAAACTTAGCTATGGTGAAATGATCACCGGATATAATCCAGCTGCTGTTGAAGAAGTTGAAAATTGTCGTATTCGTGGAACGTTTGAACGTGCTGTTCCAGCTTTCATTAAACTGCAATTTATTCGAAGGAATGTATTTATTGGTGGAAAAAGGAAAGGGTTGTGAATCCTTTCATAGTGTATTCCCATAGCTGTGTAATTTGAGTGGATAACAAGACGAAGAAAAAAAAAACAAAAAGATAGATCCTCCAGTGAAATCCGGTCGAGTGGCGAAGGGGCGCGTTGGTGGGGTAAATGGAAGGGCAAGGGAAGCAGAAGCGAATCAGTGCGAATGGAAGTGGACGTTAGGTCGACCGATCGTCCTCCACGCGTCCGGCAGTCGGTGGATGAGTCGGAGCCTCGAAGACAGCCGAACGTCCACGAATATCACCGAAGTGACGAACCCTCGGCCCTCGGCGGAGCGTCGCCCCACCACATCCAGTCGTACTGCGAATGCCACGCTGTGAGCTTCGTATTCGTGGTATTTCGGGACTTTTCATTCGCCCAATAAATCGAATTCTCGTTGTTACAATACAGTGTTTCCGTTCCTCCGCCAAAAATCTGTGTACCGAGACTACGTAGACTGAGTTCAACGTTCACGAAAATCCACATATCTCGCCGTTTCCATTGTAAATCTCATCTCGACAGTTGCATCACTGTTGTTGTTCGTTCGTTTTTCTTTCTTTCTTTCGCTGTTTCGCCCGTTGTAACGTGTGCCACGAGAAGAATAACATCAAGATTGCCAGGTACAGTGATCGAGATCTTGCGTTTTCGTGATCTCGTTATTTAGGAGAGTGTTGGAAAGTGCGCAAACCGGAGGAATCGCGATGCGACAGCGCCGGGAGATGCTCCATTTGCAGTGGCAACGGCAACAGGAAGAACAAGACGTTCGTACAACAAGGTAGACGGAAATAGAAAGGATATAAAGGAAAAAAAGGAAGAGGGGTTCGCGTAGTTAGACAGGATTGTGATTGACTCGTGGGGTTAGGAACCGGGTAAAAAGAGAGACGTTGTCATTTATACTGGTCGAACATTTGAATCGAGCGCGCGGTTTACCGAACAGATAGTACGTTTTTAGTTGGTGAGACACACCGTTCGTTGTTTACCAACGTCAGTGCGGTTAGACTACACGAATGTCGATTACCCAAGGAGAGAGGGAAGGGTAAAAGGAGAAAGAGCGCGCGAGTGCGTTTATATCGAAGGTATAGGAGAAACGGTGCAAACTACTCGCGCGGTAAAAGGAGACGGAACGAGTAGTACGAGAAGAAGGAAGAGAGGTATGCAATAACGGCAAGTGGGCGCACGAGATGCATTCCAGATGGACGATGACGCCGCACAGTCTGTAAGGCTCGCGTGGTTTCTACATTGTATCGTGTATATTCGTCATTGTCGTGTTAGGACGTATCGACGATTGTCGGGTGGGTTATGACGCGCGCTTAACGCGCTGCGAGCACGAATAGAAACGAGCGTGTGTCGATCGTGTACAACATGGAGTCCGACACGGCGACCGACTGGTCGTCGACGAGGAAGGGCTCCCTCGAGACACCGATGCCGAGAAAATTCCGTAAGGATTCTTATCAAACGGGGGGTGCAACACTCAATTGGGTGATGTGCGCCCTCTGTATTACCAGCTTGGCCGTGTCCGGTCTACTGATATACAGGGAACTAAGATTGGAATCGCGTATCGCCAATTTGGAAGCTCGTTATCAGTTACAAGAAACACCGGACCTTCTTATTCAAAGGCTCAAGAGAGAAGTACAGCTACAATTGGCGAGGCATCATTTCACCACGGAATCGAACACATTTCGGATCAAACGAGACACGTCCAAGTGCAATTGTCCACCAGGTAAGTGTTGTCGCGGAATCAACTTTCGTCTCATTCATCTTTAAATCTCACACTGTCGTCGTTCCCTCGTAACCTCTCGCCGCGGCGCTATTACCCGGCAAGTGTCAGTTCAGTTTCGTCGGCTACTTTCACGGAACGGTATCTCTTCATTATCCACCATCTTTGGTTATTCATTTATCTTCTTTGCGTGCGCTCTGTCGACAGTTTTTGACGCGAGAAAAGGTGCACGTTGTACTGTATAAAAGGCCAAGCTGCCTCACCAACTTGTCGTTCAATTATAATCGCGTGTATGTACATACATATATGTATATGTATGTACGTGTATATGCATCCAGAAAAGGACAGGGGAAGGAAGAAAGTATGCGTATAAAGAAAGAGAGATCTTTGTCTTGGGCTGGAGCAGCTTCGGCTCTCAGACAAAGGGCCTGCGATCTTGAGAATTTCGATCTTGGAGAATGCTTGAGAGAGCGGTCTCTCCTTTCTTAAGGTCGCCTTTTGCATCTTGTACGGAAAGGAGGATCTTCCGGAAGAACTTGCGGCTTCATAATTCAAACTCTATTCTATTACGCGAAAACCAACTAATTTGTACATACATATACTTAAGAAAATCGTACAAATTTCAGTTTCACCTTTTCCTTCGAATTTCGTTAAACTAGACATGCTACACAATCGAGAATCTATAAACAGATTTTTTTTGCTTTTTCCCTATATTCCTTGCAATACAAATTTCGAAACATTATTTATTTATACAAGTTTCCTCAGACAAATTACGTTGAGTAACAAGCAAATTGTCGACAATTGGCGTTTTTTCTACGGTAGTTACGTTTCGCCAATCGTTTAATCTCGTTAATATCGTGTCAATGTGCAGTTGCATTAATGAACACGTGCAATCTATAAGTTGTTTGAATTAACGCCTGTTGCGTTCGTATCAGTCTATAAATGGCTCGGTCTGTTCGTCTATTATCGAATTTTTCCTCTAACTTTTCTCCAACGTGTAAAGATATATCGTCAACGTCCTATAAATTTCTCTAATCGAAGTTAGAAATGAAAAAAAAAACCCCCCCAACGAAACACGTTCATTTAGTTACTAGATGAAATATCCTCGCGTATATTTTTAAATATAAAAAAAAGTCTCCGTTGTTCCACTGTGCTGGGAAATTTGAATAGCTGGCTGCAGAGTGTCAAACGTTGTGCTTCTATATCTACGCTCGATCTTGCACGTTTTGAATATTCATGAATATATTTTTATCGATCTGGTAATGTGGACAATATTGCGCGAAAGGGAAACTACGTTTTCACGGTGGAAAAAAGGCAACGGTTGTTTCCCTCCCTCTCTTCGAATAAATTTCAAACGAGAGAGAGAGAGAGAGAGCTGTGTAAAGGAAGAATTTACTTAGGACGGAATTCAATTCGAAAATGCAGATAAAATGTAACTTTGACACAGTAGCTACGAAATTAACGGTACCCCGAGCTCAGTTACGAAACTATGAACGCCTCTTTTACGAGTCACTTTGCATCGGAAATCGACCTTAGTTCTTGATAGCTTTTCGAATCGATACAGGCAATTAGCCTTTGAATTACGTAGTCGTAGGACTTTGGAAAGTTACCTACTTGTTCTTTTCAAGATTTTATACATTGCAGTCTATTTTTAAATATCTAATTTTTTCTACGAGCTTTGTCTAGGGGATAACAATATTATCGCTGCGCTATGTATAAATTTCTCTTGATCAAAGTGAGGGATAAAAGAAGCCTGAGACACGTTCGTTTAGTGTTAGATATTTACATTTCAAGATTTTACAAATTTTACTTTATCTTTGAACATCGAATTTTTGCACAAATTTTCGCTAAGGTATAGAAATATTATCGGTGCGCTATATACAAATTTCTCCGATCAAAGTAAGGAATAAAAAAAAATCGCGAGACGCGTTTATTTAGTGTGTTAGATATTTAAATTTGAAGATCTTGCAAATTTTACTTTATCTTTGAACATCGAATTTTTGTACAAATTTTCTCTAAGGTGTAGAAATATTATCGCTATAAATTTCCCTAAATCTACATTATTCAACAACACCGCCATTTGCTTACTATTCACTCTGAAAAGATTGCAAAAATCTTACCGAATAAAAAAACAATGTTCTCTAATCAAAATAAGAAATAAAAACCACGCGAGACACGTTTCATATAGTATCAGACGAAGTACCCATTAAACGTTTACACGAATCTCCGTTAGATACTTAAACTCAAATACTCCACAAACCCTACTTCATCGTTTCTCCATTCCGCGTGTTGATTCGCTAATAAACACCTGCTCTATCGGTAGCGAATTATTCATTTCTTACACCGATACTACACTTTCCCCAAACCAGTTCAAATTACGCGAACATCGACTTGCCACAGTATCATCGAGTACGATAATACCGAGCACAATTACGACAGCTTAATCTTCCTTGATTAAAATATATCTTCATAACGCAAAGTGCTCTCGCAGTCTTAAGAACAGCGGCAGACGACAATGGTGAAAGATGAGTAAAAGGACAGTAGGAAATATCGTGTACAATGTTTCTCCTGTCTCCTTGTCCAGTCGGATCTCTATCTTGAATTCTTCTTCCTCTTTCTTTTTGTGTGCCAGCTTCTCTCTTATCGTTTCGTCCTCCACGGTCGTATCTGGCAGCAACAAAGGGAGAGAGCCGCGGCTCCTGACTCGCGGCATCCCGAAATTGAGATGTGCGAGCTGACGCTCGAGCATCATAAATTTTCCCCTTCCTTGGTAGCATGGCATTTCTATTCCCTCCCCCTTGAACTCTCCCTTTTCCTATAACATTCTGCCAGCCAGTATCTTTGAAGATATGTAGCATTACACTGTGAACTTTTGGACTCTTCCTTCCACTCTTTCGACAAATAACTTGTGATTCTTCTCCCGATCTCCAACCTATCTCTGCGCGGAGTTAGAAAGGGTTACGTCGAATGATAAATACGCGGATAGATGTGTTATCGTAGGTACACTACCGGCAAAAAGTTTCGAATCACCTGCTAATTTACGGTAAAATTGAATCCGCTGCTAATTTTTTATAGATTTGAAATTGATGTTGCGGAGATCGATAGTATTTTACCTTATTCCGATTGATCTGAGCGAGGAAAATTTGGTTAAAATATTCTTAAAATTGCTAACTTTATTCTGGAAATTTTTCTATAACTTGTAATGCACAGTGATTCCGAACATTTGGCCGGTAGTGTATATAGTGACAATAGGCGCATCTGTGTTTACAAAGAAGAGATCCGATGTGATCGATGTCCTATTCTACTTACGAATTTTATGGACAGTTCTGCGAAGGGGATTTCTTTCTCACTGTTGCACAATTAAATTTTTATTTTCGACGGTAATTTTTTAGATCAACGCCTTATTTCGCGAATATCTTTTCTATTTACGAATTTTACGGAGACTCTTGTGAAGGAGGTTTTCGTTTAATTACAAGCTTGTATTGTACATTCAGATTTTTATTTTCGGCAGAAATTTTTGCGAATTTTTTTTCTAAAGGTGCATAAAAATTAAATACGTCGGTAAATTTATTATCATAGGTACGGTGACAATAGATGCACCTGTATTCGTCGAGGAAAGATTCTGAGGTCATTACCTTATTTTGCGAATTTTTGTCTGTAAATTTATTATCATAGGTATGGTGACAATAGGTGTATCTGTATTCGCAAAGGAAAGATTTTGAGATCAATGTCTTATTTTGTGATTTTTTCTTCTTCTAGAGTTACATGAGAAATAAGTACATAGATAAATTTATTATCATAGGTATGATAGCAATAGGTGCATCTGTGTTTGCAAAGGAGAGGCGTGATAAGATGGATGCCCTATTTTGCGAATTTTTTTCTATTTACAAATTTTATCGACAGTCTTGTGAAAATCTTTCCCACTACAAGATTCAGTATAGATATAGGGGGAGCACCCCTAGCACCGGACGTTTAAGGTTTTTCTTAAATAAATCTCTCTATCTGTGCACACGCGACTGAAACGCGTAGAAAACTCATTTTTATTCCTTTTGTCTCCTCTAGGAGATACGCAGAATAACGGCTCGGTAGAGATTCAATTATTGCAGATATAACTAGTGTTCGATATTAGGTGCCGTCCAGCGTTAAGGGAACTCCCTCTATATGTACATTCAAATTTATATTTTCAACAGAAATTGTTAATTTTATTATTAGCAAATGTTTTTCGGTTTTTAATTAATGTTGCAGTCGTCAAGTAACACATAAATCTACAAATAACGTATTATTAATTCTCCAAGTTCACGTTTCCCGAAAATATGAACACATTCATCCTTCTAACTGAAGCAATACATCGAATATAAAATTAATTTTCGGTTTAAACTAATTTATTAATTCGCGAAATTATTCGATACGCGGGAAATTTTGAAACTCTGTAGCACTCATTAAAATCAGCAGAAGATTTCAAACACGTTCTCTGCTAGACCGAATTTCATACAGGTCCTGTATATAAGCCGCGCGTTAACGGGAATAATAGTTTTACTCATAATACATTAATAAGATTGCAGATTCATTATTATTAAACAGAAATTGCGCTAAATAGGAAGGCAAAATTTTTAACTTCGTCACGAACCATCGTCGTACTTCAGTTGAACTGAAAATCGAAAAGAAAATTGTGCGATAATATAGTGATACAAAAACCATATTTTTGCGAATTATAATAAATCATTTAGCTTATTTCGATACACAATTAATTGCATCCTCTTAGAAATTGTCGTATACTTTAATTAAAAAATCTCCCGTTTCTCAAAAATTAAAAAAAAATTCACAGAGTAATGGTAGAAATTTTGTTAAGACGTGTATGGACACACAAGATGGATATAAATACATATATTACGATACGTGAATTATGATACACCCGTAAGATGGATAACAGAGTGTCTTCTGTCGAGACCAGAATAAATCATTCAACGTTACGTCTTGTTCACTTTCCTACGTTTTAAAGAACC